AATGGGATTTTGGTTCTAAAATTTCAAAAATATTTTTCACCTAAGCAAACTGTATTTTCACAAGCCACTTTGTGGAACTTATTTCACTATTCATTGTTTTTTTTGCATTATGAATCTTTAATTGATTCTTTCTGTTGTGTTTTTATTTTTATTTGTACATTTGCAGTACATAATGTTTACATTCCTTCTGTGGAGTTGGTACATGTACAGAACACATCTCAATTCCTTTTTTTTGTCCCCTTTCTCTCCTCTCCCTCCTACCTCTACTCATCTCTTGATGGATTCTTATTCATCTTATATTTCTCTTTTCTATATGTTTTAAATTTTTTAAAAAATATTTTTTATTTTTTCTCTTTTGACAATGTCTCTTTATTAGTATTCTCTTAAGAGTCTGTTAAGTCATCAGTCTGTTCAGGTTTTATGTCCTCTGTGTAATCATTTAAGCATTCATTTAACAAAAATGTTAGGAAGCCTGGTGTGGTGGTGCATGCCTGTAATCGCTCCACTCTGTGGGGTTTGAGGGGAGAAGGAGAATTGCAAGACTGAACCCAGTCAGAGCAACTTAGTGAATTAACAAGACTCTGTCTCAAAATTTAAAAATTTTTAAAAAGGACTGAGAATATAGCTCAGTGTAAAGGCCCTGGATTGAATTTCTAGTACTAACAAAACAAAACAAAAAAAGTTATGAGCACCTACTGTCTAAAGGCATTGGAGCCAGGCATGGTGGTACATGCCTATAATTCCAGCACTTGGGAGGCTGAGCCAGGAGGATTGCTATGAGTTCAAGGCCAGTCTGGGCTGCATAGTGAGTTCAAGGCCAGCTGCACTACAAAGCAAGACTATCTCAAAAAACCAAAAATAAAAATAAAATTAAAAAGGCATTGGAAATTTTAAACATGAATAAGAAACAGCCCCTCTTTCTCAGAAGTTCACCATTCCGTGAGTAAGACATATACAGAGACAATTATAGAATAAAGTAATAAAGGTTTTTATAAAAGACAAACTCCACTATTCCAGATTTTTTGAGAAGAAAAAGGTAGATGAATATGGGAGAAAAAATCTCTCCAGGCAGAATAATCAACATGTGCAAGGTGCAGAACTTTAAAAAATTGCTATTACTGAAACATGTTAGTATGCGATGAGGCTGGACAGATGGGCAGGAGCTAAATTGCATTCAGCATAAGCCATTTAGAAAGACTTCAGATAAATGGATCCTTTGTATTAATTTATGTGAGGTTAAAAAGACTGGTGCTTGAGGTGGTGTGAGGAAGGAGGTTAGAAAAAATGAAGTTTGATGTCATGCACAAAAGAGTGAACTGGAGGGCTCAGCATCTGACCTGTAGTGGCTGGGATCCAGGGTAGTGGTCAGAGAACCAGCAGTTTATCTAGAGGCAAGAAGGCAAAGAAGGCTGTCCATAAGGGACAGAGAAACCTGATCTCCTTTCTGTATACATAAGTACCTCTTAGAACATTTTGTTTTGAAACACTTTAGAGCATATGAGAAAGTTAAAAGAATTCTTCAGTGAACCTGATATATCTATCAAGATTTCACAGTTATTCTTTTGCTGCTTTTGCTTTTTTATATGTCTTCCATCTATACTGCCAGCCATCTACCAACCTATCTTATTATTCATGCATTTAAAAAATAAGTTACAGGCATTGATACAGTTCACCCCAGAACTTCAGTGTGAACATCAGGAGCTAGTGTTCAATGTCAGTTTATGATTCTTTTGTTGATGCAAAATTTATACACTGTGAAATGCAAATATTTTGAGAGTATCATTTGCTGAATTTTAAAACATGTATATACCTTTGTAATCCAAACTCTCATCCACTATAAGAGCATTTCTATAATTTCACGAAGTTCCTTCAAGCTTTTTCCCAGTTGATTCTTGTCCTCATTCCCCAGAGATAACAAGCATTCTGTTGTGCTTTCTGACCTCTCCTCGCTCATGCATTTCATTCTGTACCCTGAATTGCTGCTCATATTTATATTTCTAAATATAGAATTTGAAGTTATTTAAAACACATTTCAAATACCGTTTCCCCATGAGTCTCTTCTGATTCTACTAGATAACATTTTTTCCTCCTTTGGAGAAAACAGTTACTATTGTAATTCTCTCATGGCATGTCTTGGGCTTATTTGTATTTATCTTAATTCCTCTTCCTTGTTTATAAAATCGTTGTATATCCTGAATCTTTTAGAGTTGTGAAAAAAAATTGTAATTCATCTGATTTGAGGATACAGCAAAATAGCTAAAAAAAAAATCTTAACCTACCATAATTAGCAAGTGTGCATAAACCATTTTGCCTAACTCCCTTTTACTAAGAAATTTGAGAAGTTTGCCCTAAAAATGGAAAAGCTGACTTCACTTTCACAGATGGCACACCTGTAATACATGAAAAAAAAGTTTTAAGAGCATGTTCAGTTCTGAGAAGTGTTTCTACCTTCCATTGCATCATTCAGCAGAGAATCTGCGCTGCAAATTTTGCAGTCAGATTGATAAAACGATGTAATGGGGAAACTGATTGTAACTCAGTTTTCTTCTTGATTATACCTTGAACCATCACCAGTTCATTAGTTATTTGGAAGATAGTCAGCCTGAGTATGGAGTTAATTTATTTTTAAATGTCTGAGTAATTGGATTGGGGAAACTTACTGAGGATGACTGAGCTACTTCTTCAGATCAAGGGCTTTCATTTTGTTGTAGTTAGTCAAAGGTTTTGGGAGTAAAGGCTTCATGATATCTTCATTTGTTTACAAGACCATCTGCCTATCAAAATGATATGATACTTGAACTGATTGAACTAGACACTGCAGTGGGAAATACACTTACTTATTTCATAAGTGCAGGCCTTCCTGCTGAAGTGCCGTAAGAGGATTGAGCAGGGCGCTTGCAGTCTGCACCTAGTTTCCACGGTGGAATTATCCCATATGAGCAGAATGGCAAATGTTTAATACTGGTAAAAATTCAGGTACATTTTCAGAAAAGAAATACAGATTTTAATGTGCTTGAATACTACTTTAAGTTTCTATAGTTGTCTGTAAGTGTAAACTCAAGAATGTGACTGAATGCCAGGATATGTGGACTCACCCTGAGGGTAGGGGAGGGCTACCGAGAACTCGCAGATCTGTGGCAAGATGAACTCAGAAATTGAAAGTAAATGTTTAGAAACTTTATGGCAGTTTGGCAGGATATGCTTATAACTATTGAATTTAATAATAACAACTTGGGATTGCAAAGCATGTCTTTTATTTTGTTTCCTAGTAATTCATTCTTACTGTATTTTATAAAAATTTACATTCATCTGAAATGGATTATGAAAAAAAAACAAAAACAAAGCAAGTGCTTTATTATATATAGTTTGTTGAGTTAAAGTTTCTTAGAAGTGTGAGGCATCTGGAAATGAATATATGAATCTGAGGATGGTCTAGAAATTTCTGGCAATAAGGCTGGTCAAATTCCAGGCAATATTTAGGTCCATCAGGCACCGTGAAATACGTATTCTCTATTATGGCTAAAAATTAAAAATAAAATGCACATTTTACAAAAACTAACAAGGGACTGTACTTCTGTCATTAATTTAAAATACACACACTTCCCATCTATGGATTTTTTAATCACATGGCCCAGTACTGGCCCTTATTGTAACATAGTTTTCTATCTAAGAGATACAGTATAAGATGTTTTCTCATAAGAGTTAACAGAAACTAGGTACTTTGCTAAATACAGTCCATAAAATTAAAGTTACTTTGAAAGATAAAGTTCAAAAGGATATTAGCCCTATGGTTTCCTGCCAAATCATATCTGCCTTGTTATGTTTTGTCAGACCTTTGCCAATCAGAACTTTATTTGAACATATACTACTAAGGTACTAGTAAGAAGGTAGTAGATTTATTAAATCCTTAGTTTCTTATTGTCTTAATCAGTTGAGACTTAGAGTAAATTCCTTCATATAAATCCTATGAGGATTGTTTATAACTCTCTTCTGACACTTCAGTTACTTCAAGAAATTACTGTGAAATTGTTTTCCAAGCTAAGTGTAAATATTCTGTACTATCTTTAGTGTAGCACACTATTTAAAAAAATTTTTTTTAAATTTGGCCATACTGTACAAAGAGAAAATCATCAGCCATATGGAAATAATAGCATTGTGTCATTTTGGTCAACTTCATGTTAGATTTGCAAAATTGAAATATAATTATGAATAACAAAATAAACACATGTACTGTACAGGAGTGTGTCACGATGTGCTTTTGACACAATGGAAACAATTACTAATAAAATAAGGTGTTTTATGATTCGGAAGACAGCTTTGTTCTTGGCAGTGGCTTTTCAATTTTGCCATTTTTAAAAGTGGTTACATTGCTGGATGAGATAATTGTGGAAAAATCTTTATGCTTAGAAGACATACATCATCAAAGTTCCTCTTACAGAAATGTAGCAGGACTAGATTATAAAAGTATCTCATTCACGGAGGGGAAAGTAAAGCATTTACTTCACTTAGTTTATCATCTCCATTGGCCAACTTAAGAAATTTATATTCTCAATTTCCTTTTAACCCCAAACATTGCTCATTGCTTCTGGCTTTATTGACTCTCCCTGCTGCATATATTATTTACATATATATATATATATATATATATATATGTGTGTGTGTGTGTTTAGTAAATCCATGGGAAATTTACCATGTGGTGGTAAATTGGTTTATTTTGTTCTTGTTGGAGCTTCTGGAAACGTTGGGTTTACATTAATTATGTGTTCTGCTTTCTAGCTAAGTACAATAGCAAGGTCTTTTAGGAGTATGTTCCATTCTATTTTTATATTCCTTCCTTCCAGAGTCTATAGCACTGTGCTATGAATGTAGTGAGGATGTAGTATGGACGGACTAAAAAAGATTTGAAGATCTATATTATAATAAATTGATAAGAGATTAATATAGGCATGTTTTAAAACAGCTTATAATCATAATTTGGGTTTTTTTTTATGTTTTTACAGGAAGATTCTTTGGCAACAGATGTCTTCCTTGCGGACTATTTTAATGAATTCCTAAGCCTTCCAGTGAGTGTATTAGTATGTTCTGTTGAATATGCCATTAAAAGAAAATATTTTAATCACTGAATTAGGTTTTTTTCCACTGAATTGTTTTGTGAAACAAATTTATCCAGAGTCGTATTTTGTTTTTTTTTTTTTTTCAGAGTTGTATTTTCTTAAAAGATTAATTGAGGCATTTTGGTAGAGTTTGTATCTTTTTTTTTTTTGGTACCGGGAATTGAACTTCGGAACTGGTGCTTGTGAGGCAGGTGGTGGAACCACTGAGCTAAATCCCTGGCCCCTCAGTTTGTATCTTTTTTATAGAGTTAATCACTGGGGTTTGAACCATATTTTGAAGTTATTCTTACTGAAGAAAGGAGCTTGCCTGGGCATCAGAAAACATTCCTTACGGAACCTGACACAGCTGTGTCTGGCACCACATTAGGCATTGAACAGAAGTGATAATGACAGAATAATAAAAACTCAAGAACCCTTTTTTTTTTTTTTTTACTCTAGGCTATTATTGTCATCCTCATGGACAAATATTAAAATGCAGTTTTTTTGGTTTTTTATATGTGCAACAGGGTCTTAGTTCTTGTTTGGTCTGATTCCTTCCTCATTATTTGTACATTATAAGAAACCTGGAAGCATCACAAAATTGCTCTTATACATTGTATAATCTTTATTCTGGCCTCTATAATTTTTACTCTTCTTTTAAAAATGTTTATTAGTACATGTCTGCAGTTCATAATGATTACCTTCAGCATGGGGAGTTGATGCGTGTACCTAGCACATCTTAATTCTTTTTACCCGCCCGATCTCCATCTCTTGGGCCTCTTCCCATTTGCTAAAGATCTACAGCAGTACAATTTTATAAAAAGAAACATTTCTATTTAAGTCTAACTTCAGTTTATCAACACTTAAGTTTTAAAGTCTCAAGATATGAGATTATGTTGACTTTTACTTGCTCCAGAAAATGAATGAATTCCCCTGCCATTCTTTCCCATAAAAATCTATTTTAAATTATACACATAGTAGAATAAAAAAGAAAATTTACAAAAAAGTGAGAAAAATTAAACTACAATCTTGCCATCCAGTCAGAACAAATAGTACATTTTTCTTCAGATGATGGATGAGACAACGGACTCATTTCTGGTGACTATGTAATCATGTTTCGCATCCTTCCCCAGCAGACACATGTAGTTCATCCCCCTTTATGTGTCCCATGCAGCTCAAATGGACTGTTTTCTATTTCTCTGAATCCTTCTGTTTTTACCTCCTTTTTCTCCCCCAACTCCAGCTCCTTTTGCATCTGCATTTAGTACCACACATTCAACCTGTTCGCCTTCAAATCACAAAAGAAGGGAATATGTTATGTTTGCAGAAGGGATTTAGGGACAGGGAGAGAAAGAATGGTAGGTTCTCAAACCAAGTGCCTGGCAAAATTCTAGAACAGATCAATAATATTTGGTTTATGAGCACTTAACTAATATTTAGAAGCTAGTATGGGTTTGCTAAGAATAAATGTGACAGGCTTCTTCCTTCTTTTGGATAGTTATGGACTAGTATTCTAGCAAAACATAAATTGAGGGTATTATGGTTTCAATAAAGTGTTATAAAATAATGCATTGAACCATATTACTTCCTACTCTGCTTAAAACCCTTTTTAGCGGGTTCTTGTCACACTAAGAATAAAATCTGGAATCTGGTATGATCTGGCTCTTACCATCCCTTGATCTCCATTTCCTATCCTTTTTCCCCTAATGTTTTTTCAACTTAATTAAAGTCTTCTTCATGTTTCTCTTATATGAATATGCCAAGAACATCCAAGATTTTTCAGGCTGGAGTGCTCTTCGCTGGGATGTTTGTATCACTTTCTCCCTGCTAAAATCATTTCTGTTTAGAAAGTCTTCCCACCAACTCTGTCTAAAATGATATCCTCAATGCATGCTCCATTTACATTGTTTTATTTTTCACCAAAGTCCTTATCATATCTGTGAAATTAGTTTTGAAATATTTGAACCGATTCACTAAATATAACCAGTAGAAGTTGATTCTTAATAGTCTACAATTTGAACTTTGCATTCATTGTATGGAATTTAAGACCCTTTGCAATTTGGCCTCAACTTAACCTTTTTTTGCTTTATCTCTAGCTTCATATTTTTGTGCCACCACACACACTGTTTTCTGCCTCTCCTAACCCACCAACCTATCATGGCCGCATATAATCTTCTTGTGCTCAGTGCTCACTGTGTAATGCTTAGTAATAGGAGTGTGACAGCACTGTGTCCCGATTCTGGCCCCTCTGCTCATTACCCTGGTGATCTTACACACATCACTCAATTCCTTGATTTATTTCCATGTGAGAAGAAAATAACTATCTTACAAGATTGCTATGAAATGAGGTAATGTTCATTAAGAATTAGTGCTTCTTTTTCCTTTTCCTTCACTAACTAGACCATCTCCATTCCCCAAATATAACAGACAATCACTATTTGGATTGGTGGGTCATTATAAGTCTAGAGGTTATTCTCTTGTGCCACACAAATCTGTAACTTCTTTGCCTTTTAAAAATTATTTTCAATAGAGACTTGTTTGAAAAGTTGCAAGAGAATCAATGTTTTTCCAGTTTGAGGTCACTCAGCTAGTAAATGACAGATCCACCCAGGGCCACGTGGCTCAAAAACTTTTGATTGTTCCACTACACTGTGATGTCCACAGAACTGGCAACAGGAAACTGATCATTTGGATAGCAGATTCTTGTCTCATTTTTATCCTGATACGTAGTGTGAAATGAACTAAAGTAAATAAAGCTGATGTATTTTTAGGGTTCATTAATAGAAGTATGGTCAGGATAAAAAAATATTAGTCTGGTGCCTAAACGGTACTCAGTAAATGTTGTTTTGAATTGAGTTGAATCATCAGACCACATTATTGTATTATATTGTATTCCTGTCTTGGTCCCATATGTCAAGAGTTGCCTCAACAAGCCAGACTCAGGGAAATGCTGTAGAAACCATGTCAGATGAAGAGGGGTTGAAAGGAGGGTGAGTGTCTAACCTGGCCTGGGACTAGGCAGCAGGGGTGGAATGGAGTAGTCTTTTCAAATATTTGAAATTTGATTGAGGAAGAGGGATTAATGTATTCTGTGACACTAGAAGGCAGAACCAAGGCCAATTTATGAGAGAATCTAATTGTTGAGTTTTTTTTTTTTAGAACAGTAAGATCTATTGGTTTGTGATTAGAGGTATTTAGGAGGAGGTTAGGAAGTCATTTTGTGGGAATATTGTATAGGGGAAATATCTAGGAAGGAGGGAAGGAAGGAAGGAAGGAAATTAGGAAATCATCTATGGGGACACTGTATAGGGAGAACATTGTCTATCTACCTACCTGCCTACAAACCTATTTACCTCGGGTGGGATATTGAACTTACCCAACCAAAGAAATTTTGATTACCTCCTCTATTTTATATCAGAAGTTACTGTAAATTTCTTGGGGACAAAGAAAACTTCTTCTTCAAGATGATTGTGTTTTTATTTCTTTATCTTCCATGTAATATCCTTAAAAACAGCTGGGTGTGGTGGCACACGCCTGTAATCCCAGCACTCAGGAGGCTGAGGCAGAAGGATCTCCATGAGTTCGAGACCAACCTCGGCTACATAGTGAGTTCAGGGCCAGCCTGAACTATAAAGGGAGACCTTGCCTCAAAAAAACAAACAAAAAAACCACACACAAAAAATCCCAAAATACCAAAACAAAACAGCAACAAAAAGATCCTTAAAAACAGCCAAATGTTGGTGGCAACTTCCCACCAAAAACAGCCATAATCTAAGCCTGATAGTGTAGATGTACATTAAAGGGCCTTTAGGTCATCTATATTTTTGAGACTCCTGAGACTTTTTCCACATCTTTAGGAACATACTCAAGGTCCCATAAGTGGATTGTGGCAAAAATGGGCCTAGGAGTCAGGCTTTCTGGCCCTACAGCGTTTCTTTCCATTACGCCATCACACCCTTGGGACACATCATAAGATCCAGAAATTGATGGCTGGTAGCCTGCCTCCATGTTATTTTTTGATGAGGGGAATCCAGGACAGTTGCCACTGTTATAAATGATTATGGCACTTTCCAAATCCTAGCTTTCATAACTTCATTCCGTTTGTTCTTGCGCCAAGTTCACATTCAGATATTGTTTTCATTTGGTGTCTGGGAGGTTTTGGTTGCTGTCAACTCTTTATGGACAAGTGTTTGCTTATTAAATTTTCTTCTGTGCTATAGTGTGAAAACATTTTTTCCTTTTGGTTTTGTTTTGTGTGTTTTATGCTTAGTGACTGTTGTGGGATTGAGTCGATGAGCCCACATAGATTTAGGTTGGTCCTCTGTGGGTGGTTTCGAATGTTTGTGACATTTATCGTTTGCAGAAGCTGAAGGGGTGGCCTGTTCTATACTCTCCTTGAAAGGATAGGTATGTCATGTGTTTGCCAGACCATGCTTAGCTATGTGCTTTTGGAATTTTACCATAACTTCTTTTTTTGGACTGATTCTCCACACTTTTTAAAAAAATCTGTAAACGATTATAATTTCTTGCAGCTTTATAAAGGAGTTATATGCTAGATGGATTGTTGGGTAGGGGAGATGGAGAGAGAAAGAGAATATAGAGACGGGGAGAAAGAGTGGGATGATGGGGGGTAGAGGTCTGGGTCTGCCGTTGCCAAGATTTACATACCCAGAGCTAGGTTTTTAAAGGATTCAGTGGAGATCTAGGCAACCGCTTTGTCATGTTTATACCTATGGATGTTTTTTTAAACCCTGTAGCTGCAACATAAAAAAACATGTTAGCAAATGTAACTCATTTTATTAACCAAGGATGTTTTCTATATATTTTTGTAGCACATTATTCCTTCCATCTCATTGGTAAATGTCTAGTAAACAGTTTACAGTTAGACATTTAAAATGACAATAAAACTTAGATTAAAAGTTGTTATTGGTAACTGATTTGTTATAGCCAAGTAGTCAGATGTTTTTCTGTTCACTGACTAGGATGCATGTTTAAAATACAGTGTTGGAGCTCAATTAGTAGAGACAGTTGGAGCAGAGATGAATATGTATTAAATTAACCTAGTCATTAGTTTTTAATTTAAATACTGTTCAGCTAAATAATTTGGCACCCGGTAAGTTTCAGTGGTGCTGGGCTGGCAGTTTAAGCACATCACTAATTATTCACAGGTTTTTTTTCCTCCTCTTTTCAAAGAAGTGTGGAACCAGCAATTTATTGTGGTAAAAATATTTTCATGCACTTGTTTTTTCTGTGAAAATATTTTTCGCACATGGATGACTAGTACTACAAAGTTAGCTTTCAGCACCTTCAGGTCAATTCGTTTTAGAACATTTGGAAAATGATACCCTTGAAATAAGAAAATTAAGTAAAGAAAAGAGCAGTCTGTAACAGCTTGGAGAGGACTGGGTTTGAGGCTCCTACTGAAGATTTTTCCTGTCATATGATTAAAAGCTGAGTGTTGTCTAAATCAGCCTACTCAGCTTCTGAGGGAAAGTACTTCTTTCGTATCGTTTATTTCTATCTCCCCTATCCGGCATATCATTTACGTACATACTAAGCTATAGGTGTTTTATAGATAAACTTGGAAATGGTAAAAACAAGGGATGTGATGTGTGAGAGAGATTCTTTTTAAACAGGCAGCAAGAAGTTGGGTGATCACGTAAGTGCAAGGTTCTTTCTCCTGTGTACAGAACCTAGATGGGTACCTGAGAGTCAGCATGAGGGAATGGGCAGAACCTGGCCTTTGAGGTTTGTTTTAATCTGGGTTCTGCCTCTCTTCAACTAAAAACTCCTCAGTAGAGCCCCCTCCTAAAGCAGTGATCCTTATTAAACTTGAGTGTGCATTAGAATTACCTGAGGGCTCGCTAAAACTGAGAGTGCTGAGTCCCATCCTCAATTTCTGATTCCGGGAGAGGGCCAAGGCTCTACCTTTCACATAGGATCCTAGTTGTTGATACTGATGCTGGTGGTCAGGAGTCCACACTCGTAGAACCACTGAGAGAATGCATTGAGTTACACCGTGTGGTAGCAGGGCCTTGATGAACTGGTCCTGTGCCTTTCTCTCCAGGCATATCCTGCTCTTCTCCCCTCTTCTATTGAACCAGCAATGCCACACTGCCTACAGTTCACTAAAAGTGCCCTATTATTTTATGCTTATGTATCTTGATGCATTGGCTCTTTATTCTGTAGTTTCCTTCTCTCCTCCATCTGATTGATGTCTATTCATTCTTCAAGACACAACTCCAGTGTCCCACTTTCTCTACACCTCTTCCTTAATTTCCTGGAGATAGTTAAGTGAAGCCTTATGTGCCATCACATTACTTTCTAAATACTCCTGTTGTACTTTCTGTGTGTTGAAGTGATGTTGCCGTATGAGTGCGTTATTTGCAGATTGAACTATTCATGCTCTTCAGAACGTGGGTGGTTTAAAGAGTGAGGCTTTGTTTTACTGCCTGTTGTATGTAGCAGTCCATGAATGTGTACCCAGCTGAGGGTGTGAGACGGAAGATGAGGATCTGCCATCCCCTTAATGGGTCTCATCCTTCCTGGCTCTCAGTAACACAGTCGTAGTCATCTCATTATGCAGCATCTCAGGTCACAAGTGTTAAATACACAGTACATAGTTTGGTACAACATGAACTGAAGCAGCAATGACCCATTTCCATGTCGGAAGAAAACCGACTGTGATCCGCTTCAGAACAGTGTTCAGGAGAATGTTGTCCTTTGTGGTACTTTCAAGGATTTCAGGGGATACTTTTTTCCTGTTCAATGATGTGTACTCTGAGGCAGGGCCCAGATTTCATTTCTTTCAGTTAGGGTTTTGTGGAGGATGCTGATTTTTTGTCTCTTTCAATATGGCAACATATCATCCCTCATAATAGTTCATTTAATAATGATTTAATAAATACTTATTGAATACATGAATGAAGTAATTAAGGAAGAATGGAATTGAGTGATCTTACTAAATAAAAATAGACATGGACTCTTTTCCCAGAGAGACACAGTCACGGACTGATGGGGTATAAAACAGGGAAGGCACATTGAGATGATCTAGTTAAAGCCCCTTTTACTTAGAAAGGCAAAGTAGTTAACCCAAGGTTTCTTCCATTTAACCATTCTGCTTATCCTTCTCTGGATAGTTTCTGGTTTAGCCACATCTCTCTTAAGGTGCAATAATTGGACCAGACGTATATTCTAATATTATTCCCCCTTTCCCAATGGACATTATTCTCTTGTCCCTTTGGCATTTGAATTTACATGAATTTTACAACATTTTAGTATTTTGCTGATTCTTTTCATCATAGAGCAAAATGCATCATTATATCCTTATTCCTTAAAGAGTAGAAACAATGTTTTTTATTCAGCTTTGTAACAATAACTTTGGACAATAACTGACACTAGAGGTTTTAAATTTTTTGATTCTTTTTTTCTTGGTACCAGGGATCAAGCTCAGAACCTTGGACTTGCCATGCAGGTACAATACTACTGAGCTACATCTCCGGTCCTTTTTTGATATTATTGAGGTGAATTAAATGGGAGAAGCTTTGAATTAGTTATGTGTCACTTTTATAATCTTAAAATCACAGTGCTGTTGAAGACCTTCTGAGATCTACTCTAACTCATGACTTCTTAAATAGAAAAATGCTTGTTTGGCAAACACTCTTCAGTCTTAAACATTTTTAAGCTTAGGAATTATAACTTTTTTTTTTTTGAGACTGGATATCTTTGTGTTGCTCAGCCTGACCCCAGACTTCTGGGCTTAAGCAATTCTCCTGCCTCAGCTTCCCAAATAGCTAGGATTAGAAGCATATGCCGCCATGCCCTGCTTACATATATTTTAGCATACACTACATTTACATTTTTTAAAAATAAAAACATTTTGGGCTGGGGATTTAGCTCAGTGGCACTGCACCTGCCTAGCAAGTGCAAGGTCCTGAGTTTGATCCCTGGTACCAAAAAAAGAGAACATTTCATGTTACTTTTATTATAAACACACTAATTCTAACTTTTAGTTGTTTTTCCCTGTGCTTTTGTAAAGTTCTTTTTGTCCAGTTATTCTCCTCTAATGTATTTACATCCTTTAGCTTTTCTTCCCCAGAATGGATATACCCTGATTCTTTCACCACTTAACTTGGTTCAGAATTCGTATATTTTTGTGAGTACATTAAACCATAGTTGCAAGGAGTCTGGAAAATCAAGTTTTTGGTTTTCCAGTCTTTACATCTCAGGAGGTTGGGATGGACCCTGAGTGAACTGGTCTGCTTTACCTACCATAGCCCTAACTAGAGCTCTGTAGCTGTACATTTGTTTCATGGTCACCAATCCAGATGGTCTTTCATATTATAGTGCTTCATTTTCCCCACACTGTTACCAATTGACATTCATCCTCTATCAAATTTAATTCATTTCCTTTCTCCATCCAGATAAATCCAGTCTCTGATATCAGCAGACTCTTTTATCTGTTTAGTCTGTTAATAGCACAGTTCAAGGGTAATATTTATGACATTTAGGTAAGTGGTGCTGATTTGAATCACATATTTGAAAGACAGATGGAGAGGGGATCCAATAAAATACATTTATTAAAGAAACCATATACATAATTTACTGCTGACTATCCATAGATAATCATTGAGCTGTACTTGTCATTTTGGGGTAAGGCTTATCTCTGAGTCTTTTTGGATTGTCGACTGACACTCTGTCACTTGTCGGATTGTCTTGTTGTCATCTTGTTGGATTGTCGACTGACACTTGAACTCTGTTGTCCATGCACTTTAACACATTTGTGGTGGGGCTGCAGTGTGTATGTCTGGGTGGCTCTGAACCACTGGTGCTGGGCGGCTCTGAACCGCTGTGGTACATGCATGATTGTCCCATCTGGTGGTACAGGCTGCTCAAAGGGGCAGTCGTGCATTTACCACTGGTGGTTCAAGCCAGTGAGAACGTGTTAAATGTCTTGGGGAGACAGTCAGAATTTGGAGATCTGATATTATATGACATCCAGATATAAATATGAATAGATGTATATACACATATATATTTCTAGATTCAGTTTGACAACAACATCCTTCCATTTAAGTCCTAATTATAGCATATCTAACAGTGCTATAGTAAAACTTAAGTAATGGTCTATCTAGGACACTTACTGATTCTTGGGGAAGAATTTAGTGTCTTCTACCAGTTAGTTAAACATATAAATTATAGTGAATGAGTAGTCAGTTCTTAGAAAATACTTTACAGTAAATAAGTATTTTGAAAAAGGTATTTTTTTGGTTGTGGAAGGCAAGATGAGAGAAGACATGGCTAATCTACCACTTTACTTCTTACGGAGATAAAGATGTTAAAGATGTTCAGTGACTTACCCAAAGCCACAGAGCTATTTATTGGTAAGCTGGCATTCAGACTCAAAGCTCCTGTTGTATATTAACTGATTAGCTTTAAATAAAACTTGGCAGCATTTAATAATTAATGAGAAATGCTTAGAAATACTATTCTCTTTCACTTTTTTGTCATAGTGTGAGGAATGGTGTTGAAATACTCTTAAGTGAAAAACATACTGTACTTAATTTTCTCCTTTTGGGAAAAGGAGGTTAACTTCCGTAGCTCCTGGGGATGAAAGAGATAAACAGAGCATTATTTCTTCTTCTTTACTCATTCTTCCCTCCTAAGAGGGAACTTGGCTTCATAGAGACCACATATATGTATTTCTATAATTTCAAAGAATCTCAGAGGTAAGACTTTTATACAGAGGGGATTTCTGCCATAGCATACCCTCACACTTACTTCTCGGCATAAATTCACTGGTAAGGATTTCCAAGCTTCTAATGGGGAAGAAAGAATGATTAAGTATACATGCATATAGTAAATTTCAGGTCTTCTTAGAGAAAGTGAATTGCTGGGCTTTGAATTTTTAAAAATTTCCATATGTTTGTATTACAGACCTTTCCAGAGGCACTTAGGTTTAATGTAGATTATGGAATTTTTGAAGTAGTTAATGATGCTCCACAACTTCTGGAAAAGCAACTGAAAAAAATTCTACAAAACCAACAACCTCGAAATCCCATCTATGATGTTGTGAGGAAAAGAAGGCAGGATGTTGAACCTGTTCAAATGAATGTCCCCTGTGAAGATAAGACCATTAATGTCAACTACAATATTATGGTAAGAAAGTACATTAAAGTTTGTATCTTGCAAGATAGAAAATCATTTGATGAGATTAACATGAAGTTCCTTGGGGTTCCTTTTCTGAAATGTAACTGTAAATGTTAACTTGTGCTGTATTTACACATAGTGTTTGTTAGATGCTATATCATTTGTTTATAGCTAGTGGCCAATTTAGTCTAGCAGTTTTGTTGATGTTTATCCGTATAAGAAGGTTCATATAATTTATCTTGAATGTTTAAAATGAGGTTAGTTTAGAGCAGTACAAGTGCCATATGTCTATCTGTTATGGCTTGTATCTAGATTTTCCCCCAAAGCCTCATGTGGTCATAGGTGGGGCTTTCTCAGAGGTAGCTGGATCTAGAGTGGGTGACTCTAGGATTGATTCATGGTGCAATGCTAAGATTAAGGGTGTAAGTGTTACTCACTCTAAAGGTGGATAGCCTGGATAAGATATAGGGGACAGAAAGTTGCTTGTCACTTGCCTTGCTGATTTCTGCCTTCTGCCTACTATGAACTGTTCTTCTCTGTGAAGCTGCTCTGCCATGGCACCCTACCTTGCAGCCAGCCAACTATGAACTGAAACTTTTATGAACTGTGAGCTAAATAAACCTTTCCTTCTTTAACTTCGGGTGCTGGGTGGTTTTTCTCATCAAAAAGCAAAGTAACCGGGTCGAGGATTTAGCTCAGTAGTGCTGCCACCTGCCTTGCAAGCACAAGGTCCTGAGTTCAACCCCCAGTACCAAAAAAAAAAAAAAAAAGCAAAGTAACTAAGACAATATCCTTTATATTTAGTTGCATTCTAGGAAATGTACATATATAGGAAGTGTTTCTTTCATTTGGATTTTAAACCAATCTATTAATCAGTTAGGAATTGAGCCTTTTGATCCTCAAGTTACACTTTGTGGCTCTGACCTAAATTTTATTATCAGCCTCTAGTTTGTCTCCTTAGCATGTGGTCAGAAAATCTGTGTTCAGATATTGCCTCTTCAGCTCACTAGCTCTATGTCCTTGAACAAGTCACTTTGGTGAACCTTATTTTTATCATCTGTCATGTCTTTGCTACATACTACTTTGGTTTGTTATGGAGGTTAAATGATAATGATAATATTTAATAATATTATATTCATCTGGGCTAAAATATGTCTGAAACTTCAGATATTACTCCAGTCTGAAAGTTCTTCAAGTCTTCTGTTACTGAATTAAAATACTGTATATTTCTTTTCTGTTAATTTCTGTCAAATTAAATGCTGCTAATAATAAGTACATTAAAGTGTTATTTTGAAGGTAAAACAAGGAAATTATATAAATATATTCTGAACTAGGTAAGTTGTTAGTTAAGAAAGTTGTTTTTGAAGAGATGACAGAAAAGTGGAGAGGAGACTTAGAGATCAGAAAGGGAATGAAAAGGGGGGAAGGGAAGAAGAAAGGAGTAATGGGGGTGGAAATAATCAAAGTGTGTTATATGCATGTATAAATATGCCAAAATGAAACCCAATAATCTGAATAACTCATATCTACTAATGAAAAGTTTTCTTAAAGAAGGTTTTGTTTGTTGGTTGGTTGGTTTGAGACCAATGTTGCACTTATAGTCCAGGCTAGCCTTGAACTCACTGTGTAGCCCAGACTGGTACTAAATTTGCTATCCTCCTGCCTCCATCTTCCAAATGCTGGGATCACAAGCATGCACCACTACACCCAGCTGAAAGTTGTTTTAATAAAACAATGTGTGCAAGGTGTGCAAATAGCCATAAAATAGACTTCAGAATCAGGAATCTTGCAGTGGGATAAAGAGGAATATTACATAATGATAAAGGGGTCAGTTCACCAAAAGAGAGTAACAGCTCACAATACACAAGCACTCAACGATAGAGCTTCAAAATAGATGATGCAAAAGCTGATACAACTGAAAAATGAAATGGACAAATCTATTGTTTTAGTTGGAAATTAAAACATTGCTGTCTCAGTAATCAATAGAAAGGATAGATCAGAAGGACATAGACATTCTATAACCACTGGCAGTCAAGTGAGTCTTAATTTGAACACCTCACCCCACAACATTAGAGGACACATTCTTTTTTAAGTACAAAATGGACTACATATGAAAATGGATCATATTCTAGGCTATATGACAAATTTGAACAAACTTAAAAGATTTGGAATAATGTAAAGTATGTTTTTCTACATGCCAGAATTAAACTAGAAATCCGTAACATAAGAATATCCAAAAAAAATCTTAAATAATTAAACAACACATTTCTAAATAACTCGGAAGTCAAAGGTTAAGTCTCAAAGGAAATTAGAAATTATGTTGAGTTGAATAAAACTTAAAGCACAATATAATAAATATGTGTGAAATACAGCTAAATCAGCCCTTGGAGGAAAATTTATAGCAGTACATGCTAATAATAGAAATATTAAATATCTCAAACCAGTGACCTATCTTCCACCATTGGAAACTAGAAAAATAAAGCTAAATGAAAACACCCCAATTAAAGAAGTAAAGAACATAATCAATGAAATTGAAAAAGCTGACCACTGCACCCAACACTGAAGACCAGAGCTGTCCCCAGAGCAGAGGAGGGGAACCTTCTAGGCCACTGTACCACCACCCCCAGTGCTGAGGAGCAGACGTGCCCCCAGTGCAGAGGAGGTAAACTTTCTGTGCCAAGAGATTAAAAACTCCATCGAAATTCTGCACAGCAGAATGAACCAATGTGAGGATAGAATTTCACATATAGAAGATAAGATTGCAATTAGTGACCAGGAAAAGAAAAATT